GATCTTGATCTTTGAAAACCTTAACTTGAAGTATCATGACTGGTAAAATACATAACACAACTGACATTAAAGGTTGTTATCACATGAAATCATATTGCTCCGGTCCCAGCTTCAAGCCTCCATGGTATACCCGGCTGAGTGGCTCTTATTTCAAGCCTCCATGGTAACCCGGACTATTGACTCTTATACACTGGAAACTGTTACCTTAACAATGACTTGAAAATTATAACAACCTTTAGCATGAAAATATTTGCCCTGAACTTGATGTACTGATCTGACTTAGGAAATTTGAGTCTATTCCTCGAATTGAATCAAGGAATTCCTCCCTGGAGTCTGCCAATTGATTGGCAAAATGGCAATTTTTGATAGAAAATATCTGAGGAACATGATTACTAAGATTTGTACAACATAAGTGCTTACAAATCTCTTGACGCGTCATTAACTTGACTTGAATAAATCTAGAATTGAATCTAGAGTTCTCAAACTTAGCCCCTTTTCTAAGGTTCTGAATTCCGATTCGAACATCCTTACTGATGACTTTATTGAAGTTGATCAATAAAGCACACAAATTTCTTGACGAGTTATTTAAACATGATTGGGGAATACTGACTCTAAATTCTGAGTATACTGACTACTGATCCTGAACATGATTCGAGCATCTTAACTAGTCACAACTGATGTATTTCTGAGCATAGACATAGTAATTTGTTTATAACTGAAAAACATAAATCATCACTTACCTGTAGTCGGTGAGGCGTGAGCGTGACAGTTCAGGTTTTTCTGAAAATTTCTGACTTATAAAACTTCTCAGAGACGCAGAAACGTGCTCTGATACTATTTGTAATACCCCGACTTTTTACTGAAATCAGAGTACGCTTTTTCGCAAATTTTCTAATTAAAATAAAAAAAATATTTTTTTCTTTTTTTTTTTTTGCCAAACTGATTCGGAGTGTTACCGTAAAATCTGACTTTTATCTGAAAACCGTTAATTTTAAACTGATAATAAAAACGGTTGTATAATATATTAACCGACTGATGTCGGATCAAAAGCTGAGTTCAAGTACTGAAAACGGTAGCGGAAATGTAGTGTAGCCAAAACATAAATATACATATCAACAAATATCCTGAACGACTCGTCAGCTCACTCCTCGTCCCCGACTCGGTGACCTGAAAAACATGAAATACGTGGGGGCGTGAGCACTAAAACACTGTGCCCCGCAGAAACTCATACTAAAGTAAAAAGTGAATATAATATCAATATCATGATCCTGGTATATATAACTGAACTGATAACTGATACTGGTACTGAATAATCTGATACTGATCTCGTGACATAAATCACGTAACTGATAACTGAACATCTGCCGGCACAAATTAATACCGGACACCATGTGCACACTCTAGTGGGCAGATTAGGGCCACTAGAACCTAGAATGGACTGGCGACCATTCCGAGCGGATACTAATAATACATACCTCAAACATGGTAGCGTAATTATAATCAATGTAGTACTTAGTCTGAGTCCCCACCTGAACTGCTGATCTGAAAATGTAAGTGCTGATTGCCTGCAAAACTAACATATATAAACAAATACTAAGTGTTATGCCCAGACTAATTAAAATAGTTGTTAAGATGCTCGACTCGATCTGAATAGCTAACTGGAACCATCTCGGGATCTAACTTAACTGATAAGAAAAACTAGACTGAAACTGGTACTGCTAAACTGAACTGAACTGACTGCACTGAAAATTCAATTGAAATATTGAACTGAGCGGACTAACTGACTAGACTGAAAATACTGAACTGATATGATTTTACTGAACTGAACTGGACCCAGAATTTTAACTGAAAATGGGATCTGAATCATGAACTGGAATTTAAAATAATAATTTATGGTCAAACCGGTCTAGACTAGCTGAACCGGACCCGAACCGGTCTGGCCGGACCGCCGGTCTGTTGAAGCCGGCCGGTCGGCGGCTGACTCGGTCAACGGGCCCGCCGAGGCCGCGTGCGTGGACGCTGCCTGGACTGGCC